GCACACATACCACATTGTCTCTCATTTCATATCTTTTGACATGTGTTTTCTCTACTAGGACCCTGTTGTTTTTCCTTTATACCACTTATTACCCTGCACGCTCAGTTTCCTTGTCTGTGTTTACTAGACTCTAAGCTCTTCAAGGGCAGGGACTGTTTTGTTTATCATGTTTTTTCAAAAACAATGATAAACAATTTATCCTTGTGCAATTCCTGGCACAGAATCAATCCTCAGTAAATATTTTGTATGAATGAATAAGCACAGGAAAATCTGGATATCTGTAATCTGTTTGTTGTGAAGATTGGAAAAAATGAATATAAGCCTTGCTCATGGTCATACCCTCCTCAGAATTTAGTAATGCCTTGCAAAAAGTAAATACTTAATACTTATGATTGAATTGAGTATGTAGTAAATAAGCTGATACGTGATTGTTTGTCTGTGTCCATGCTTAGAATAAAAGTAATGGCTATCCTGATGATGCAGACATCGGCCCACAGTGTCTGAGTCATTATGGATGAAATGAGACATTCACACAGACTACTGAATCCGGTGGAGGAAAAGGGACAGCATGGCTTTTCTCTCAAGGGGAGCAAAAGCCTTGGCCCCCACCATGATAGGCCTTTATTAGGCTTCTCCTCCCATTACATGATGGTCCTCATTTATTATGCACAGGTTTGCTTTAGGTGGTTACCTTTTACAGAAAACAAAGGAGCCAATGCTGCTAATTACATCACAGAAGAGGAATATTTGCAAGTGAAAAGGCAAAAGTGGTTGAACTGGTTACACTCATCCTTGGAAGGTTTAGCATGGATTTTAGGAAGTTACTTTGCAGTAAATGTTTGCTAAAAATCAGGGTGAGGGAGTTTTAGCAAAAAGCAAGACTCATAGTGGCCTAGGTACATTGCAGGCCTGACTCCCCACAGGAGAACCTTTCTATGGGTGTGAGTCCTGTGCGTCTCCCAATGGGAACTAGGCTCATGCCATGCAGAATGGTCTCCTACATCCTGAGGATGTGTTTATTTTTCCACGGAGCATAGAAATTATCTTTTTCTTCTGACACAAATGCATTTTATAATGGTGATAATTTAAATTTTTTTAATTTTATCGTGCTAAGAACACAACATGAGATTGATCTTAATGTAAGACTTTTAAATGTACAATATGGTATTGCTATCTGTAGGAAAAATGTCACACTGCAGATCCCTAAAATGTATTCATCTTACTTCACTGAAACTTCATACCCACCAATTAGCAACTCCCCATCCCACCCACCACCTGCACCAGCCCCTCGCAACCATCAGTCTATACTTTTAGGAGTTTGTTTGAGAGACCTCATATAAATGGAATCATGTGGTATTTGTCTTTCTGTAACAGTCTTATCTTACTTAACATAATGCCCTTACGGCCCATGCACATTGTATATTTCAGGATTTCCTTCTTTTTATGGCTGAATAATGTTCCCTTGTATATCTGTACCTCATTTTTGTAATTCCTTCATCTATTGATAGATATTTAGGTTTTCTCCACATCTTGGCTGTTGTGAATATTGCTGCAGTGAACATGGGAGTACTAATATCTCTATGAGACAGTGATTTCAATTCTTTTGGATAAATACACAGAAGTAGAATTGCTGGATTGTATGGCAGTTCTAGTTTTAATTTTTTCAGAAACCTCCATATTGTTTTCCATACTGGCTATACTGTTTTGCATTTCCATCAGTAGTGCACAAGGGTTCCATTTCTCTATATGCTCCTCAATGCTGTTGTGTTTTTCAAAAATTTTTAATAATAGCCATCCTTACAGATGTGAGTTGATACCGCATTGTGGTTTTGATTGGAATTTTCCTGATTGTTACTGATGTTGAATGTTGCATCCAGCAAACGCGAGAACAAATGTTGGAGACTTTCAGGGAATCAAGGATGTTACTTTATTGGCCAAGTTTAACCTGCGCAGGGGCGAACTCTCAGAGTATCCAGAGACACGGTACCCACAAGGGGCTGCAAACGAGAGACACGCCAAGCGCTTACAACTACGTCCTTATATAGGGGCCGGCAAGCAAGCGTTATACAGAAGCAGACGTGGCAGTTAGCAATTCGCTTACAAAGACCACGCGCAGGAATTTCAAACCAAGCATTCTTGTACAAGGCGGGAAGGCAGGATGTTTGTTCAGTAACCTAGTAATCTCCTGGCTCTAGCTAGCTAGGTTCCTATTTTCTCATGGTCTAAGTTTTTCCCTACTCCTTACATTGAACATCTTTTTATATGCCCATTGGCCATTTGTGTATATTCTTGGGAGAAATGTCTGTTCCACTACTTAACCCATTTTAAAAATAATGTTATTTGTTTGTTTGTTTTTTGAACTAGGAGTTATAAGAGTTCCTCATGTATTTTGGATATTAGCTCCTTATCAGATATATGATTTGCAAATATTTTCTCCCATTTGTAGATTACCTTTTCACTCTTTGTTTCTTTTCCTTTGCTGTGCAAAAAGTCTTTAGTTTGATGTATTCCACTTGCCTAATTTTGCTTTTGTTTCCTGTGCTTTTGGAGTTATAGTATAAAATCATGGCCAAAACCAATGTCGTGAAGCTTTCCCCTGTGTTTACTTCTAGGAGTTTTATAGTTTCAGGTCTCAGGCTTAAGTCTTTAGTCCATTTTGAGTTTATTTTTGTGCATCGTGTAAGAAAGGGTTCAATTTCATTCTTTTGCATGTGGACATCTAGTTTTCTCAACACTATTTGTTGAAGAGACTATCCTTTCCCTATTGTGTGCTCCTGGCACCCTTGTCAAAGATCAGTTGACTATATATGTGTAGATTTATTTCTAGCCTGTGTACTGTTCTGTTGGCTTGTATGTTTGTCTTTATGACAGTATTATGTTGTTTTGATTACTCAGAGTTTGTAATGTATTTTGAAATCAGGAAGTTTCATACCTCCAAATTTGATCTTTCTCAAAATTTTTTTGGCTATCTGGGGTTCTTTGTGGTTCCATATGAATTTTTTACTTTTATTTTCTACTATTTCTTTAAAAAAATACCACAGGGATTTTGGTAAAGATGACAGTGAATCTGTAGATCATTTTGGGTAGTATGGCTATTTTGACAATATTAAGTTTTTCAGTCTGTGAACATTGAATGTCTTTCCATTTGTTTGTGTCTTCTTTAATTTCTTTCATTAATGTTTTGTAGTTTTTCAATGTGTAAGTCTTTCACTCCCTTAGTTAAATTTATTCCTAAGTATTTTTTTAAAGTGATGCTATTGTAAATTGGATTGATTTCCTACTTTCCTTTTTAGATAGTTTATTGTTCATGCATAAAAATACAAGGGATTTCGGTTTGTTGATTTTGTATCCTGCAACTTCACTGAATTCCTTTATTAGTTCTAATGTTTTCTTTTTATTTGTTGGAGTCTAGGGCATTCTATGTATTTAAGATCATGTCCTCTATAAACAGCTGCAATTTTGCTTCTTCCTATCCATTCCGGATGCCTTTTATTCCCTTTCTTTCCTAATTTCTCTATCTAGGACTTGCAGTACTATGTAGAATAGAAGAGACAGGAGCAGGCATCATTACTTTGTTCCTGATTTTAGGGGAGGAGCTTTGGATTTCTCACCATTGAGTATGATGTTAGCTCTGGGCTTTTCATATATAGCTTTTACTGTGTTAAGATAATTTCTGTCAATTCTTAGTTTGTTGAAACTATTTTTTATCATGAAAGGGTGAACTTTATTGAATGCTTTCTTTACCTGTTTGATGCATGGGTCACCAGCCAGCAGTGATCACGGAATACTGCGGATGGCTCAACGAAAACACGTGAGAAAAAACGTGCACAGAGACAAACTAGTTTCTGTGGAGAAGTAGGGACGAAATGGCCACCCCCTCTAGTGGGGAGCACGCCAATTTACCGTCCATACCTGCTTTTGTTGGGCTCGTTTTGCATAATAATTCAAGTACAGTACTCATTACAAGGAAGTAAGGAACCATAGAAAACAAGGAACTCTGACGGTCTATTTTGAGTCGGGGTCAAAGAGCTGTAAGACTTTGAGGAACAAACTAACTTCCTCCTTGGACCCCTCTCATTCAACTGAGAGCATTCTAAACAAAGCAGGCTTCACAGTAATTTACATATTCTTTCTTAGGCCTGATCACCTGGGGAATCCACCCTTTTCAGCACAGAGCTGCACCACCCTGTCATTGTTTCAGGCTTAGGTGGAGCACAGGAACTAAGGCAACCAAGAGATAAGGAGATTTTCTCCCAGACTATGAGAACTCAGGCTATGTCAAAGCTGAGGAGTGAGGGTCTGTCACCCCCTTTTGCTGCAGCCCCCAAAGTCCTTCTTTTAGGGGGCCTCCCAAGTGATCGTACCTGTCTGAGGTCGTTCCCCCCTTGGGGAATGTTACCCGTCTTTGGCTAACCGACCAAGCTTTGGGGTTCAGTTATGAATGAAGCAGTGCTCCTGCCAGGGAGATAAGCTTTTGTCTCCTTACTGGCTTACGGTTCCAAGGGCGTTCCCTTGGCCTTAGCCTAGGCGGGGGTTTCAGCTTCTGATACCAGTCAGGGTGGTTCCCAACACCTGTTGAGAGGGTCACATGGTTATTTTTATCTTTCATTCTGTTATGTGATGTAGCACATTAATTAATTTTTGTGTATTTAATGCATCCCAGAGATAAATGCCAGTTGGTGTATAATGATAATATTTTTGAGAGAATCCTAAGCATTTTCTTGTACATGATAACTTGCTTTTGAACTTAATTATTTTTATATTGCCAAATATCTATAACCTGGAATTTTAATGAATTCATTAAAATATATAAAAGAAAAAAATTCTTGCTGCACATTTTAGCTATATTCTTAAAGGTTTCTTGCTTTAAAATACCAGGAATCTGCATTTACATATATAAGTAAACTTTTCATTTAGGTCTATAGAAAACAAATTAGAAAACATATTTGTCTCTGAAATAACTTTTCTTCTTTGAATTTTGTGTCCCAAATCTGCATCAGCATCTCACTTTCATCATTGTTGTTGAAAGAAGAAAAAATGCCTGTGCTATCTCCTGAAATCAAAGTCGAGACTTCCAGTGTCACCAAAAATTCCCTTGACAATTATTTTCTTTTTGAGAGTAGCTGGAGGAAAGCAGTTTTAGAAACACAGAAGTTGAGAAATGGTAACTTCAATTTTACTTAAGAAAATACAGAAATAATGAATTTGAATTTACATGTATGTTTTTAAAGCAATAAGAAATATTTATAATTTTTGTAACATTTAAGTAAGAATAATATCTTCAGTTTAAGGAAAAGAAAAATGGAAGAAAATTAAAATTAATTTATTTAATGTAATTCTCTAACTCATAATAGAAATGAATTTTAAAGAACTACTTCTTGATATTTTGTAATATGTTTTATTTGATATTAATGTAGTACTTTTTCTGTTGGATCATACTACTTTTCATGAATAGTGTTTGTTTTCAAATACCTGAAGTTGGTTTTTATATTTTAAAAAACTCAAATCTAGGGAAAGGGGGTGGGGGGAGATAGAAGAGGCTAGAGCAGGGATAAACATTGCTAGAAGGAGACTTGACTTTGGGTGGTGAACACCCCGTACAATATATGGGTAATGTATTATAAAATTGTACCTGTATAATTTTATTAATCAATGTCACCTCAATAAATTCAATTAAAAAGAAAAAAATAAAAATTTTACCTGAAAACAACCCCCCCAGAAAACCCCAAATCTTTAACAGCACTGTTTCGTATTAATAATTCTAACCAGGATTGTCTCCCTTCCTTTCCTTTGAAAGAGACTTATATCCTATAGTTACTCAAAAAAGACTAATTTGAGAACTTTTGATGTGTAAAGGAGTGCATTTATAGCTTTTTGCCCTTAGTTTCAAATTATAGTATTTTTAAATTTATACTGAATTCTGCCATTAGCTTTATTGATGGAGATATAATTCTTAAAAATAGCAAAATTTGAACTCCCTAAGTATTTCATCACTTCTGGTTTTGAATGTGTTGCCTTGCTAGAGTTTTTCAACTTCTTCACTAGATTCCCATTAAAGGTACTCAGAAGACACCAGTTTATCTGTCCCTTACCCCCAAATTTAATTGCTAAAAAGAGAATCTGTATATATTTTTGATCAAGAGAAACTTTTTTTGTTTTTGAAAAAAATCAAAGGTTGCAAAATAACATTTTGAGTATTTAATATCATTCTAGTCCCATTAAATACTTTTTTTTATTGCTGGGCTAGACTTGCTTACTAGAGAAATCTTTAAAAACAATTCTCTGTGTTTAGCTTAATGATCAACCAAACATTTAATCTCTTAATTTGTTTTTTTCCTTTTGTGTCCTTCATTTTGGAAAAATTTTAAAATAATTTGGTAATCTCTTTGTCCAATAATATGTGAGATCAGTAGAAGAAGAAATCTTGATCCTTCAATGTTGTTGTTTATAGATTTGGTGTGGAATTTTGTAGGATATAGTTAAAATCAGTGCTTGAAAACAGAATACTTTTATCTCATTGCTAGCTCAGAGGATCATGTATTTACACATCTTGATTGTTTACATAAAATCAGGAAGGTGGAAAGATTTAAAGTAGCAGATAACATAAGACTCTTGAAAGTGCTTTTAAGCTCTTTTCAATATGAATATATGTAATATTCCAAGAATTCTAGTTATATCAAATCACGAAGGCAGAAAACCAGGAGATTTATGAAGCTGTCCTTTTTTCCTTATTTTGTCTTAAGCTGCAACTTAATCACTTTCCCTGCAGGAATTCAAGGTATTTTCTTGGGAGAGATGCTAGGTAAAGTACAGTAGCTTAATTTTCTTTACTTAATGATTGATTTAGTATATTTTATTATGCATTATAGTATATAGGAAAAGATGATAGATACACTTAACCAATAAATAATGAAGATGGTTATGATACTCCTTTTAATTAGAATACACCAGAACATTTGGTCTAGAAGAACTCAAAGAACATGTCAAAATGCCATATTTGCCAGGATTGCAAAGTTGCCAAAAAAGTATGAGTTCATCTCCACCAGAGTTTCGTGGCAGACGGCTGCGTGCTGATTTCCAGATGCCTCCAGTCAGGTACATTATGTCTGTTTAGATCTCCTGAATTGAATATATATTTGTGGTAATACTTCTGCTTGTAGAGGTCTTTCTGGCCAGTGAATCCAATTCTTTTCTGTTTATTATTTTTTTTCCACAAAAGGTTTAATTTTGTAAATTTAAGTTAATGATTTTTTTCAGCTTGACAAGTAGGTGCTTTTCTCAGTTTTTAAGTGATATTGACAGAAAGTGTTTAAGAACTTTCTTTGAAAAAATCTTTATTGCCCTAATATAGATTGCTCATGAGAATATTGGATTTTTTAACAATAAAAATAAATGAACTCTGCAATATTAAAAGGTTTCATTATCCTTAATACAGAACCTTGTGTTTCATTTCTTGTTTGAAGTGCTGTGAGGGGAGATTCTGAATGAGATGGCAGCCTAATAAAGACCCTGCATGACTTAAATGAGTTTGTCAGCCAGAATACTGACATTTAAAAATGGTATTATAAATACCTTTCCAACTGTAAATCAGACTGACATACTGTTAAAAAAAAAAAGCCCTTTCTTCAAAGGCATGTATGTATATATTAGTAAGACAGTCTTCTATTCTGTTTGGTTTCTGCTTTGGTTTATTTATTTATTCATCAGGTATTGAATGGCCAGCCTGAAAAAAAGATGATGCCCTGGCTGGCATAGCTCAGTGGATTGAGCGCGGGCTGCTAACCAAAGCATCGCAGGTTTGATTCCCAGCCTGGGCACATGCCTGGGTTGCAGGCCACGGCCCCCAGCAACCGCACATTGATGTTTCCCTCTCTCTCTCTCTCTCTCTCTCTCTCTCTCTCTCTCTCCCCGCCCTTCCCTCTCTAAAAATAAATAAATAAATCTTTGAAAAAAAGATGATGCATTTATAGTAGTCTGATTTGCAGCTCTCTTCAGGGGACGACTTATATTTTCACGTAATGACCTTTAAAGTCATCCAGTTATACGTAGCACACATGTACCAGAATTTGAGAATCTATTTTTTTGAGTTTTCCACTAGTATTATTGTTCTTGTTAATTGTTCTTGAAATAAATCCAGGTAATATAAATAGAAAACTAGAACACACTAAAAATGAAAAGTTGTGATTAGTTCTTACCTAAATAAGACCTTTGCAGAAGATTTGAGGAAAAGAGAAAATTTACCTATCCTAACATATTCATTTTTATTTTTTAGTATTTTCTTCTATCCTTAATATTAATATATTTTTATTTTAGTTGTGATTTTAGTGTAATTACAATTTTTTATTCTGTCTGTTTTATATATGCACATAGTGAGATATATTTATCTCACTACATAATCTTCAGTTACTGTCAAGTAACTGAATAAATAAATATAAATATATTTCACTGATGGGTCCACAGTTTCTTTTTCTAAACTTTTTTATTGTATTTTTTTGCATTACCATTTATCTGCCTTATACTCTCTTCCACCTCCACTCCCTCAATCACCACACTGTTGTCCATGTCCATGAGTCCTTTTTCTTTTTGGCTCCATCCCTCCACCCCCTAAATCCCCACCAGCTGTCAGCCTGCTCTCTGTTTATGAGTCTGTCTCTATTTTGCTTTAGTTCAGTTTGTTCCATAGTTTCTTTAAACTGTGTTTAATAACATAGTTTATTTAAAATTTCCTATCACTGGACTTTTTCACTTTTATAAATAACATTACAATGAACAATAGCACACATAAAGTCTTTTCCATCATTTTAAATATTATCTGAGGACAGATTTCCAAGATCTAAAAATATACAAAGCAAAATTGCTTTTTTTGAAGTGAGATTACAGTGAAATAAGAATCAGAGTTGGTGAGATAGCGTTGCTAGTAGAGCTGATGGTAAAAGTAAAGGAGACAGATTGGGAAGGTTGTAGATAGAAGAGGGCCCACTGGAAGCCAAGTATAGAACCTACTCGAGGACTGTGTTTCTATCACCAAGACATCTGGATCCATGATAGCTTGCTCCTGTCATGTATCTAAAAGTCACAGCCCTTGATAGGGAAAGGATTAAGAATGTGGATGATTGCCCTGGCTGGCATAGCTCAGTGAATTGAGCGCGGGCTGCAAACCAAAGTGTCGCAGGTTCGATTCCCAGTCAGGGTACATGCCTGGGTTGCAGGCCATGACCCCCAGCAACCATGCATTGATGTTCCTCTCTCTCTCTCTATCTCCCTCCCTTCCCTCTCTAAAAATAAATAAATAAAATCTTAAAATAAAAAGAATGTGGATGATTGTCTGTGGCAATGGACTTGTCTTGGTACAGAGCAGTCTTCTTAGCCTTCTTTTAGAGTGTATAATCATGTTAAAAGAAACAGGAAGCCCAGAAAGCACCCCCTGGACTAGTCCACTCTGCCTCTAAATTTTCAGTCTTTATGTTGCTTCCTACTGTTTTCATTCTATTTCAGTTGGTTTGTTTTTTCATTTGCAGTTTGGATGTTTGTATAATGATTCATCAGCCCTGGTTGGTGTGGCTCAGTGCATTGTGTGCTGGCCCGAGAACTGAAAGGTCACAGGTTCAAATTCCCATCAGGGCCACCAGCAAGGACCATGGCCAGGTCCCCATTTGGGGGTGTGTGAGAGGCAACCAATCAATGTGTCTCTCACATATCAATATTTATCTTCCTCTCTTTCTCCCTCCCTTCCCCTCTCTCTAAAAATAAATAAATAAAATCTTTAAACTGATTCACCAACATTTCACATCGACTTGAGCACGAATTTACTTCAGGATAATTTGAATATATTGGTTGACAAAAGAGTTTGTTTAGTTTTTTTTCCATAAAATAAAAGACGTATTTTTCATTTACACCAATAACTTTATTGACTTGGATATTTTGAGTATGTTGGCTGTCTCCTGCATGGTAGAATGTTGATTGCTCTCAATTAATGTCTTGATTTGTCAGTATCAATTTCAACTGTTCTGCCCAACCTTGGAGCATCATCCAGCAAGAAATCTCCAGCATGAAACCTCACAAACTACTTTTGACATTTTCAGTCAGTCACAGCACCTTCATGATACACTGCAAAAATCTATTTTTGCATTTCAGTTACATTTTTACCTTTCTTGATAAAATAAAGCATGATATACCAAAATTGTTGCTTATTTTCTTCCATCTTCAATATTAAAATGGCTACACAAAAATTCACCAATTTTGATATTTAAAAATTTTCTTATTATATTTTATTGATTATTCTATTACAGTTGTCCTGATTTTTTTCCCTTTTGCTCCCCTCCATCCAGCACCCCTTACTACCAGAGGCAAAGCCCACACCATTATTCAGGTCCATGGGTCATGCATATAATTTCTTTGACTACTTCTTTTCCTATACTTCACTTTACATCCCCATGGCTATTCTGTAACTACCTATTTGTACCTATTAATACTGTTTGTATTAATCCCCTCACCTCTTCACACATTCCTCCTTATACACTCTCCCATCTGGCAACCATCAAAATGCTCTCCATATCCATGATTCTGTCTCTGTTCTTGTTTGCTTGGTTCTTTTATATTCAATTGTTGATAGATTTGTATTTTTTGCAAATTCAATGTCCATAGTTTTGATTTTCTTTTTCTTAAATAAGTCCCTTTGACATTTCTTATAATAAAGTTTTGGTGATGATGAACTCCTTTAGTTTTTTCTTGTCTGGGAAGCTTTTTATCTGCCTTTTGGTTCTAAATGATAGCTTTGCTGGGTAGAGCAATCTTGGCTGTAGGTCCCTGCTTTTCATTACTTTGAATATTTCTTGCTATTCCCTTCTAGCCTGCAAAGTTTCTTTTGAGAAATCAGCTGACAGTCCTATGGGCACTCCTTTGTAGGTAGCTAACTTCTCTTGCTGCTTTTAAGATTCTCTCTTTATCTTTAATCATTGATACTTTAATTATGATGTGTCTTGGAGTGGGCCCCTTTACATCCATCTTGTTTGGGAGACTTTGTGCTTCCTGGGCTTGCCTTTCTATTTCCTTCACCAAATTAGGGAAGTTTTCTTCCATGATGTTTTTCAAATAGATTTCAAATTTCTTGCTCTTTCTCTTTATCTTCTGGCACCCCTATGAGGTGAATATTGGTCCACTTCAAGTTGTTCCAGAGACTGTTTGTATTATTCTCATTTTTTAAAAATTCTTTATTCTTCTTGTTGTTCTGATTGGTTGTTTTTTGCTTCCTTATGTTCCAAATCATCGATTTGATTCTTGGCTTCATCCACTCTACTGTTGGTTGTCTGTAAATTGTTCTTTATTTCAATTAGTGTATTCTTTGTTTCTGGCTGGATCTTTTTTATGCTGCTGAGGTTCTCACTAAGCTCCTTGAATACCCTTATAACCAGTGTTTGAACTCTGCATCTAATAGATTGCTTATCTCCATTTTGTTTAGCTCTTTTTCTGGAGTTTTGATCTATTGCTTCATTTGGGCCACATTTCTTTGTCTCCTTGTTTTCACAGCCTCACTGTGTTTGTTTCTATGTATTAGGTAGAGACACAGCCTCCTCTAACCAAGCTGGGTACCTGAAGTGTGCTAAGTACACTCCCCTTTTGTTGATGAGCCTTGGCTGCTGTTGGCAGATCAATGAACGGGATTTACCCAGGCCAGTCAGCTGCAAGAATTGGCTGTGACCACTTACCACTAATCTCTGCCCTTCATGGAGGATCAGCTATGCAGGGACAGGTTGGTGGTGCTTCTACATGATCTGTAGCTATCCACTGGGGGCACTGGCCCTGGGGCTTCTGGGGTGGTGCAGGCCAACGTCATCCCCAACCTGTGTTTTGCCTGGGGCCACCCGGCCTGAGCTATAAAGCAAACTGAGATGGCTGTTGTTTGTGCTGGGCTTGGAGATTCCCAGTCAAAGAAAAGCTGTGAATCTAGGCTGGCTTCTTCTAGTGCTGGTCCTGGGGCTCACTGAGACCAGCTGTTGCTTGTTTGAGAGGATTTAGGAAGTTGTGCAGCATGATCCAAGACCAGTTACTCATATGGAAAATCATCTTGGGTGGGCCTGTAAGATGGGTGCAGTGGAATCCCTAGGGATCTCTGATCGGGTCAAACAGTATTAGCCAGGTTGATGGAGTCTCAGATATGGAACCACCTTACTGAATCTGTGGCTCTATTGGGGACGACTAAGAAAAGGGACAATGACATGTGCTCACCTTGATTGCTAGACACTTCAGTTTCTCCCAGTGCCCTTCAAGCTGCTACCCCAGTATTGGAGCTCAGAGGAAGTTAGTGTGAATAGGTGAGTCCATGTGTGGGTTCTTTAAGAGGACCTGCTTCCGGATCCAGAAGTTTCTTCCACCAACTTAATCCCCACTGGATTTTGCAGCCAGAAGTTGTAGGGATTTATCTTCCTAGCACTGGAACCCTGAGCTGGGGGGCTTGGTATGGGGCTGGGACTCCTCACGCCCATGATATCACTCCCAAATTTTTATCCACCACATGTGGGTGTGGGATCAGCCCATTCCACATCTGAGCCTCTCCTACCAGTCTGGATGGATGTGGTTTCTTTAATTCCATAGTTGTCAGACTTCCATTCAACTCAATTTCTGATGGTTTTGAGTGATGGTTGTTCTATATTTTAGTTGCAATTTTGATGCGGTTGTGTGAAGAGGTGAGCCATGTCTGTCTATGCTGCCATCTTGACCTGTCAGCTTTTTTCACTTTTTGTTTTTTAAGTATTTTTATTGATTATGCTATTAGAGTTTTCCCAAGTTTTTCTCCCTTTATCCCCCCTCCACCCTGCCCCCCAACCCTCCAGCATTCCCCCCTCTTAGTTCATGTCCATGGGTTCTACATATAAGTTGAGTCCCCTGTTTCCTATACCATTTTTTATTTCTCCCCGTCTATTTTATGCTTACTAATTACACTTCTTCCTCTCTGTAAATTTCCCCCCCTATTCCTCCCTTCCCACTCCCCACTGAAATCCAGCCATGTGATGTTCATTTCTCTGATTCTGTTCCTGTTCTGGTTGTTTGCTTAGTTTTTGTTTTAGTTGTTTTTCTTTTAGTTTCATTTGTTGATAGTTGTGAGTTTGTTGTCATTTTACTGTTGATAGTTTTGATCTCCTTTTTCTTAGATAAGTTCCTTTAACATTTCATATAATAATGGCTTGGTGATGATGAACTCCTTTAACTTGACCTTATCTGAGAAGCACTTTATCTGCCCTTCCATTCTAAATGAAAGCTTTGCTGGATAGAGCAATCTTGTATGTAGATCCTTGCCTTTCATGACTTGGAATACTTCTTTCCAGCCCCTTCTTGCCTGCAAGGTTTGTTTTGAGAAATCAGCTGATAGCCTTATGGGCACTTCTTTGTAGGTAACATTCTCCCTTCCTCTTGCTTCTTTTTGGATTTTCTCTTTACATTTAATCGTGGGTAATTTAATGATGATGTACCTTGGTGTGTTCCTTTTTGGGTCCAACTTCTTTGGGACTCTCTGAGCTTCCTGGACTTCCTGGAAGTCTATTTCCTTTGCCAGATTGGGGAAGTTCTCCTTTATTATTTGTTCAAATAAATTTTTCATTTGTTGCTCTTCCTTTTCTCCTTCTGGCACCCCTATAATTCCAATTTTGGAATGTTTAAAGATCTCCTGGAGATTCCTAAGCACCCCCTCATTTTTTTGAATTCTTGTTTCTTCATTCTTTGCTGGTTGGATGTTACTTTCTTCCTTCTGGTCCACACCATTGATCTGAGTCCCAGTTTCCTGCCCATCACTATTGGTTCCCTGTACAGTTTCCTTTATTTCACTTAGCATAGCCTTCATTTTTTCTTCTAATTTGCGATCAAATTCAACCAATTCTGAGAACATCCTGATTACCAGTGTTTTGAACCGTGCTACTGATAGGTTGGCTATCTCTTCATTGCTTAGTTGTATTTTTTCTGGTGCTTTGATTTGTTCTTTTGTTTGGGCCATTTTTTTTTGTCTTGATGCACCTGTTACATAGTGAGGAACAGATCCTTAGGTATTCACCTGGGAGGGGTAACCCCCGTCACTGCATTGTGATGCTGTATATGGGGAAGGGATCCGAGAGGGAACAATAGCACTTGCTCTGCTCTCCACTGGCTTTCAGTCATTTCTACCACTTCCCACAAGCAAATTTGGCCCTTCTGGTGCTGATTCCTGGGTGGGTTGGCTTGTGTATGTCCTAGGACCCTGTGGGTCTCTCCAATGAACTCTCCTGTGAGGCTGGGAATTTCTCCCACTGCTGCCTCAACCCCCACAGGTATTTTCAATCAGTGGTTTGAGGCTTTATTTCCTTGCAATAAAGTTCTGGATTTCTCGGTCTGTCTCACTCACAAATTGTTCCTCCCGGTTTATCTGTACACGAGTGTGGGGCCACCTGCTCCATCAGTCATCACTGAAGCCTTGCTGGCCAGCTGCAACTTTGCACAACCTGCTCCACAATCCAGCACTGCGTCTACCAGCTGCCACCTTGCCTGCCCTAGTTCTCCTAACACTGCCTTGTCCCGAGTCTTTCCCATGCACCTGTCTTCGCCCATTCTACCGGTCTGGATGAGTATGTCTTTTTTAACTTCTTGGTTGTTGGATTTCCATACAGTTTGATTTTCTTTAAGTTCTGGTTGATTTTTGTTTTTAAATTGTTATTGTCTTTCTTTTGGTTGTGCAAGGAAGCACAGTGTGTCTACCTATGCTTCCATCTTGGCCTGAAGTCTGTTTATTGATTTTTGATTGGTTGTTATTCTCCTTTTGGTTGTGCAAGGAAGCAAAGGGTTTCTACCTACGCTCCCATCTTGGCCAGAACCCTGATAAGCTTTTTTTAAGTACATGCTGATATGATAGCTATCACAATACAATCTAACAAAATTGTTTAGAATGAAGTTAAAGACAACTAAGTGCTACTACAGTCATCTTGTGGAAATAACCAAATGAACTTTTTGGCCAACCCAATATTATAATTATGTTTTGACAAGTGTTCTTCATATACAAAGCAGAAGAGTGGGGTTAAGTGCCATATGTTAATGAATGTGTGGCAAGCATAAATGTTATTTCTCTTGTCTGTCTTTGAAATGAATTTCTCTATTTTAGCCATTCTGATGAGAACATGTTGAGTTGCCTGCAAGTATTTTATCCTCCTCTGCATATTGCCCCCCGCCCTGTGAAGGAACGGTGTTGGCAAACCAGGGAAGTGCTCATTTTTGTTTCTTTTATTTACAACCCTTTACCCTCTCCCCACATATATAAATATTTGATTTTAAAATGATGATAAAAGTGTAATGTTTTTTAAAAATTTGTTTAATGATAATAAAAAGTTTTCAGTGATTCTCAAGATACTCTCTGGTAATATTACTAATAATAGTAATTCTAGAGATGAAGAGTATTTGAATGTTTGGACTGACTTCTGAAGTTTAATGTAGTTACAAGAAATTTAAAATTCTTATGGACCATCTCACCTATAGCAGATTCAATCATGATGTGGTTCCTCTAATAACCTACTTCTAGGTTTATTCCAGAAGGAACAAAAGTTAATAAAGTCAAAATTCAGATATTGGTGATGAATAGGTGAAAAGTGTACAAATGAGTGAGTTGGTTAGCTGGCATATCCAGATATCCTGTTAATCTAATCATGATGCTCTTCCTTTTAGCATTTCCTCAGTCATGATTAGTGAGAGTTAGGATAAAGATAAATTGAGATAAAGATGGGAAAAGTTAGACATAGTACTCATTCACTGGAAAAGTTTATTAGTAAACACAGATATTAAGTTGGTTTGTATATGTTTCTGATTAGATTAATTATGATGGAAGGAGTTTTGTTTCTTTAATGCTTATTTAATTTCCACATGATGCCCCTCAACAAGTAAGTTTCACTGAAAGCATGCTTCTTGACTCTTAATGAATTTTGAAAAATTGATATGCCCTGAATTTATGGAGAAGTGACTTTACAAAAATGTGTAATTTCAGGATAAAAAAGACTAAGGAGATCTGCACTGCCGTACCACTTCAAGAGAGTGAAAAAGGTAAAGTGGGCTCATGTTTTTCTCCTACCACGTGTTCATGCTGAATGAATACTCACTTTTTAAAACAACGTCCTTTCTCTCCACTGATTTAATTGTCTTTGTTTTGTTAATGCTTCTTTGAAGAAGCTTTATTTTATAAATTTAGTGGATGTTGTTTTATATATATATATCTTTATTATTTCAAGACCCTGGGGTAGGCTCTTCTCATCTCTATGTGGGCCATTGCAGTAGCTTGCAAACTAGTCTGATTTGGGATTTCTGACCTTTGAAATCATTCAACACTTCAGCAAAGGCCTAAAATCTTGCCCTCTAGTCACATTACTTCCTTCTTCAAACACAATGCCTCATTACCCACAGACTAAAGCATGAACTCCTTAGCTTGGCATTGAACCCCTTTACCATCTTCACCTATTTGCCTTTCTGGTCTTATTTTCTAATTAATTTTTTCCTGAATCCTGTGTATCTATAATATCCAACTTCAGAAACTTATCTATATATCAACAGTTTGTGTTTTAAAAAACTATTATTAAAACTGATTTATTCTAAGTCCTTGGTGACTAAGATGGTTTATAACACCAAAGTGTATTTTCATCTATTTGGAGTATGAGTTTGCTCTTTGAAGCTTTAAATTCAAACATTCTCACTTCTACATTTCTGTATGTTTGGCCAGAATTTTGTTTTTCAGAAAAACACTGAAAAAAATCTGTTGAGCCAGGTAATTATGCTTTGAATGATGTCTACAAAATGATGGAGAATTTCTTGGTAGCTCTGACATCTAGACTTACTATTTCATCCCTAACTTTCATGTGTTACAGATCACTGGGGGCTTTATACCAAGGGAACATCTGTGGCATGTAACATATGTATTTGTGTAGCATTTAAGTTCTTCAATAAATTCTTACTCATTTCCTGAAGTAATCTTATCCAAAGTTAATGGGAAAGATACTTGACTCATGTAGTCTTAAGTTTTCTACTTTCTTGTCTTTTGTTGATTATTATATAAGCTGGGGTTTTTCAATAATTACAGCACTTTGGACCAGATAATTCTTTGTTGTGGGGTCTGTCCTGTGCATTGAAAGATGTTTAGCAGCATCCCTGACCATTATTCACTAGACAACACTAATAGCCCCTAAGTGTGGTCATCAAAAAAGGTCTCTAGACATTGTCAAAGTTCCTTAAGAGTGGCAAAATCACTCTCAGTTGAGAGCCACAGGATTAAGTATAACATCTTTAGCATTATATGTTATTCTATTATTTCTCCTTAATACTGTCAACTATTTCCTCTCTTACCTATGTGTAACAATTATTTTTTTTACCAGTTTAAGATTTTTTAAACCTCACTTATTTGTATGATATTCAGAGTTATCTTCATCACTTCCATGATTTTGCACTTATGGACTAATGAAAGTCAGAGCACCTCCAAAGAAACCCAAACACTAAAATCACCAAGGAAGATCTTTGTGACATTATTGGCAGCAGTCAGAGTTGACTTGTTAGGAGCTTTGCAATTTCATTCTCTGGGTATTCATAAGGTTGAATGTTCATGAACTTCTCCTTGGATATGTCCTTTCTCTGAATGTTTATATACTATAAACTTCTGTGATCAACAGGCAGCATTAAATAAAAATATAAATGATAATTTAAGTAAAAGGCATTCATTTTTCATCTTGGCCCAGATGAACATTAGTGTGCCTGTTTCCCAATAGGCCAGATTTATGGCTCTTAGGACTGGGTGATATGTCTTACTCACCTTTACACCTTGCAGTGCCTATACCAGTTTCTGTAACACGTTGAGTGCTCAGTAAATACTTGTTGATTTTCCTCCAGTCATGCAAGTGGGCAGTTCATTCACTCATTTACCAAATGTGAATTGAATATCTGCTCTGTGCCAGGCATTGTTCTAGGTGTTAGGCTTTAGGCTACATCCCACAACAAAACGAAGGTCCCTGCCCTTGTGGAGCTTACGTTCTAGTGAGAGAAGATAGCCAACCAACATTAACCATAATAAAGAAGACTATTCCCCAGCACATCAGAAGGTGAAAGCATAATAGAAACAACAAAATAGAACAGGAGAAAAGAGATCAGGAGATCTGAGATCAGGGCAGGTTTAATGGGGGAGGGCAATATTTGAGCCAAGACTTGAAAGAGGTGAGGGAGTTAAACTCCTAGGAAACAGTTATTCTCTTGGACCCAGCGAAGATCCCAAGGCAGGATGATATCTGACCTGTTGGAAAAAATCAGGAGTCGAGTGTCAAGGTAAGAGAGGTGACATCCAACCCTATAGGCTCTTGGAAGGGACATTGTATCTAACTCTGATTGACATGAGGAGCCCTTGAATAATTTTAACAAAAGAATGATTTTAATGTGAGCTGGTTTACATTTTTAAAGGATCATTAGATAACTGTCATCTATTTCAGTAGTTAGACCTTTCTAAAAATTGGCGCATTGACCTTCCACCTCTATCTGTGATGGAATAGCTTTTATTAGATTACCACTGAGAAGTAGCATGAGAGCTAATTATGAAAGAATATAATAAAATATATTTTACAACAAATAATGTAAAAGTAATATATATCTAGTATTCATATAAAAATAATGAAAACATTAAAAAGCAACTGCTTTAAGGTGTCAAGAGCTATCATTTCCAATAGAACTCGAGAGGCTGAGATAACCACAGAGAAGTGAACCTTAAATTCTGTGTGCAGTTTCCCCCCAGGTGCCTATTCCTAAATGGCATATCTGCTGGCTAAAACAGCTTTTTGGAGACAAAAGAACTGAGCAGAGGTTTCAGTAACATAGCATTTACTGGGGGGACAGCAGGGGAGTTTAAAGCCTACCCAGGAAGCCCTTAGTTAAACACATAGGCTCTAGGTTAAAACTCCTGAAGGGCCACACACTATAAAGGCATCCCAGGTAGAGACTATCTTTAAAACAGCCCAGACTTGACTGGATTAAAGGGATTGCCTGGCCTGCCAGAGAAAATGTAATCTTTCTTGAAGACTGAAGGTGAACCTGAGCCTTACAGGCACATCATTTGGGTCACTTGTTTTCTTTGGAGGAGTCTTTTGATATTGACTCAGTCATTTTAATTTTAGGACTCTCAAGGTATTCTAATTCTTCAATCAATATTGGTAAGTTATATTTTCAAGAATTTTTTGAATTTTGTCTGTTTTCAATTTTATTGGCCTAAAGTTTAGTCTTTGCACTATCTGTACTTCTGTTCCTCTTCTAGTATTATTTATTTGTTCCTTCTGCCTTGTTTTCTTGATTAATCTCACCAGAGACTTTTCATTTTTATTAGTCTTTTCAGTGAAGAACTCTTTTTAAAAATATTACTGTAAGTTAGTTTTCTACCTCATTGATTTCTACTCTTTTCTTTTTTTAAATTTTTAATTTAATCTTTATTGTATTTTTTTCTACTACCATGTAGCCCACTTGTACCCTGGAAATCACCACATTCTCCTCTTTTTTGTATTATCTTTTTTCTTCCATATTCTTTGAGTTTATCCCTTTCCTAATGTATATCTTATACCTAGGTTATTAATTTTCAGCTACCTTTTCTAACACAGCATTTTAGAATTTTATAACTACAGAGAGGTTAATACTCTAAAATTTCTCTTTTGCTTCACCACACAAGTTTTATAATATTTTCTTTATCATCCAATTAAATGTTTATTATGATTTGTTTTTTGATTGATGAATAATATAAAATGTTTATAAATATCTAAATATTTCAGAATTTTTAATTTGTCTTATTGTTAGTAACTTCAACTAAATTTTATGGGTCTGTATGATAACAATTCTTTGAAGTTTTTTTGAATATTGCTTAATATCTAGAATCTAGTTCATTTGTAGCTAGAGGATCTTTCTAAGATCAAGTCCATTGTAGTGGTAAGAACAGGAATGCTGATCATATTCTTGCCCTCTACTCTCTCTCCCTGAACTTCCCACTCATGTTACACACTCAAATAAAAACAAACAAACAAACAAACATACAACCCCCAAGCATCTTGGAGATTTTTTAAAATTATATTTAATTGATTATGCTATTACAGTTGTACCAATTTTCCCCCTTTCTGCCCCTCCCCCCAGGAACCCCAATTCCCTCTAACAATCTACACCTTAGTTCATGTCCATGGGTCATAAATATAAATTCTTTGTCTACTACTTTTCTCAAACTGTTCTTAAAATCCCCCTGTCTATTTTGTACTTACCAATTTGAACTTCTTAATCCCGGTACCTTTTCCCCTATTCTCCCCCTTCTCCTCCCAACTGATATCCATCCAAATGATCTCCATATCTATGATTCTATTTCTGTTCTGCTTGTTTGCTTAGTTTGTTTTTTAGATTCAATTGTTGATAGTTGTGAATTTATTGCCATTTTAATGTTCATAGTTTTGATTTTCTTCTTGTGGTTAAATAAGTCCCTTTAACATTTCATATAATAAGGCCTTGGCAATGATGAGCTCCTTTAACTTTACCGTGTCTGGGAAGCTCTTTATCTACCCTTTCATTCTAAATGACAGCTTTTCTGGATAGAGTAATACTGGATGTAGGTCCTTGTTTTTCATCACTTTGAGTACTTCTTGCCAGTCCTTTATTGTCTGCAAAGTTTCTTTAGAGAAATCAGCCAACAGTCTTATGAGAACTCCTTTGTAGGTAACTGTCTCCTTTTCTTTTGCTGCTTTCAAGATTCACTCTTCATCTTTAACCTTGGCATTTTTATTATGATGTGTCTTGGTGTAGTTGGTCCTCGTTGAGTCCAACCTGTTTGGGACTCTCTGTGCTTCCTAAACTTGTAAATCTGTTTCCTTCACCAAACTAGGGAAGTTTTCATTCATTATTTTTCAAATAAGTTTTCTATTTGTTACTCTCTCTCTTCTCCTTCAGCTCCCCTATGGTTCACATGTTGGTATATTTGAAGATACCCCAGAGGATGCTTAGCCTATTGTTTTTTGGATTCTTTTGTCTTCTTGCTGTTCTGATTGAGTGCTTTTTTCTTCCTTATGTTCCAAATCATTGATTTTATTCTCAGCTTCATCCACTCCCTGTAAATTTTTGTTTATTTCACTTAGTGTAACCTTCATTTCGCTGGGTTTTCTTTATGCTGTTGAAGTACCCAAAGAGTTTTTTGAGCATCCTAATAATGAATGTTTTGAATTCTGCATCTGATAGATTGCTTATCTCTGTTTCATTTAGTTCTTTCTCTCGAGTTTTGTTCTGGTCTTTTATTTGGGTCATATTTCTTAGTCTCTTCATTTTACCAGCCTCACTGTGTTTGTTTCTGTGTATTAGGTAGAGCTGCTTTGACTCCCTGTGTCAGTAGCATGGCCTATTGTAGACAAGAGCACTGGTAAGTTGTATGGGGCAGGACATTAGGTAATCGCCAGGGCAGGGCAACCTATGTCACTTCTCTGTGGCTCTGTATGGGGGAGGACTCAGAGAGAGGACAATGCAGCTGCCTAGCCTCTGGATTTTTGTCCAGTAGGAAGCTGTTTCCTGGTACTTACCCTGTTTCCAGTCACTTCACTTTCTCCCCATATGCCACTGGTGCCCTTCTAGCTATTGCCCTGGTGCTGAAGCCCAGAAGGAGTGAGTCTGCATAAGTTATAAGTCTCTTGCAGTCCCTTTAAGAAGCTCCTTAAAGGACTCTGAGAATCCTGAGAATCCTGCAGTTTCTTCCACTACTCCAACCCACACTGGTTTTTACAGCCAGAAGTTATTGGGATTTACCTTCTTGGTACTAGGCCCCTGGGCTGGAAGGTTTGCTATAGGGCTGGGATCCCTTGCTCCTGAGATATCCCTTCCAATTTTTATCCATCACATGTGAATGTGGGACCACCCATTCTGTGTTTCCGTACCTCCTACCCATCTGGATGAATGTGGTTAATTCCTTGGTTATGGGACTACCATACAGCTCGATTTTCTGATGATTCTTGGTGATATTTGTTTTGTAGTCATTGTAGTTTTTGCTGTGGTTGTGTGAGGAGGTGGACTGTGTTTATCTATGCTCCATCTGACCTGATCTTTAATAATTATTTATAGAGGATAAATTTCATAGTCATACTTGTTTTTGAAGCATGTTACAGGTACAGATTTAGTTTTATATCATTAAATGTAAGCATTACAGGTTTTTAGTTAAATATTTTTAGATGGCTTATTATAGTCATTAAAAATTAAGTAGTGACACTTCTACTTCAAAGAACTCATAGTATTTGATGGTCAGTTGAGAAATAGACATTTTGCTTGCATTATATTTAGAGATCATCATTGTGATTATTTTCATTTTAGTAGATGATTTTTTTCCTCACAGGTTTTGGATTCAGCAATCCTCTCGTTGGAGCATCATCTCAATACTTACAGAGACTTTCCAAAATGGCCCTATTAGAATATGATACCATTTGTCACGAAACAACCAGAAAGTCAAAAAAGGGTAGGAAACGAGAGCTGCGAGACTGCTGGTAACTCATGCTGTGTGATGATTTCTTCACTGGCTTTTAAGGCTTATACTTTCTTCCTTTCTTTTTCTTTTTTTTGGTACCTGATATGATATGGAATGATATCTGGAACAGTAGAAATGTAAATAGGAAATAAATATTTTATGTTACATACAGAATAATTTGTTTTGTTAGCATTACAAATAAGCATTTAAGTTATTATATATGCAGACATAAGCATAAGAAAAATTATATTTCATGAATTTTGTGCATGTTAATTATATTTTTTGACTCAACTTGAAGAATGTTTTTTGAGTGCCCGCTTGTACAATGACCTTCCCTGGGAGCCACAGAAGATTTAAAAAAAGAGTTAGCTCTTCTCATTGGGGATAGAAAATGGCCAATTGAAACCCCTCCTCTTCCCTGCTTAAGTTTGAAACAGGTGTGATGTAAGTATTCAAGCAAATGAAGATGAAAATATTAGCTTTGCTTTCTGATAGGACGTGGAACGAAAACCCTGGCTTAGATGTGTGGCCACCTCCTGACAGTGAACTTCAGAACTGGGCCAATGCACAAACCCAGGCAGTGATGACAAGCTCAGGCTTACCTGCTGAGTCAGGGCTTCCATGGCCAAGCAGACAAGATTCCTCACTGTGTAGACAGGCAGATCCCTGAGGGGTAAGGGAATGGGGAGATGCCTGTTCCTTTTCTGTAAAGAGGAGGAAAGTCAAGCTCAGGAGTACTCTGCTTCTTTATAAAACCTGAAGGGTGGGGGAGAAGTGTGTGTCAGTGCACCTATCTGAGGAACCAGGAGAAATCCAGGCCACCTGAGGCTGTGATCCAGGGAGAGTGGGATCCATGCCACAGGAGAGGCAGAGTGTCACAGAGGTTCCAGAACAGGGTGGTAGCATCCACTGGGAAAGTTTCATGGAAGATACAGTGTTTGAAATGGAACTTAAAGGCAGGAAAGATGGAGGAAGAGGGCATTTCTAGAAAGATGAAATAACATAGCTGAAGTACCCTGTGCATTTCGGAGTGACTAACATGGTTGGAACACTGGGTAGTAGAGGCTGAGTGGCAGAAGTCACATGCCTACAGGCACCAAGCCAAGGACCACATTAGTGACTCAGTGAGATGAAGGCTGCAGGGACCTAGGGCACTCACCAGCCAGCCTCAGCCCTCCGTGCCACCTGTGAATGAAGGCCAGCATTGCCAGATATTCCAACTTTGTATGAGAAGCTAGACTCCAGATTTGTATGTGAAAACTTTCAATGTGTAAATGTTAGCAACTAATTTGAAATAAGCAGCTAATTCAAAATTTATAAAGCCATTGTGTGGGCCAGAGAAAGTTGCATGTGCAAGTTAGGGCTGGCTTTGAGGGGGTATTCATTTCTGCAACCTCGAGGAGGTAGGGCTTGAGATAGCCAGATGAGATCTGGTAGAGAGCCTTAGATCAAAGCATGAGTTTATATTTCCTCCTTTTCACAATGGGAGATTTTGAGAATGAAAATAGATTATTGCTTTTATAATTTAGAAGGATTCATCCAGGTATAGTTACTAGGCTAGATTGTGATGGGAGGAGCCTAAGGGCAGGGAAACCAGTGAGGAGATGTTTATAAAAATTGAGGTAAGAGTCTCTGGTGGAAAGTTACAAACAGGACATCAAGGGGAATCACCTAAGATCAACTGACTGGATGGGCATAGGTTATCAAAACAGGAAGAGTGAAAACCAGCTCATTTCCAGTTTTAGACCTAAGATTCTCTTTTGCTAGTTTCAGGGAATAACAAGATGAATTCAGCTTTGAGTATATTCAGTTTCAGGTGCCATCAAGACATCCACAGAGATGCCAAACAGGTAGTTAAAAGCAGGCATATAGTTCTGGAAAAAAGGTAGTTGACTAGAGTTAGAACTTGGCAAAACATATGTATTGCAAAGGCTGAGTTTCCCTGCTAAAAACTTAGAGAGAAAGGAGAGCCCAGATTCAGAAGGGATGGGAGGAAACAGGAAGAAGAAAAAAATAGAAGAAAAAAAGAAAGCATTACAGATACAGGAGAATGGGCATATTTCATGTTCTTTCATGCTTTATATTACTATATAAAATGCACTATTGATATGTATATGTTTGTATGCATTATCACAATGCATTATGTAGTTCCTCAAGGGTAACTACATAAACTTACGTGGAGATGCTTGTGCTTGGATCTGAATTTCGATTGCAAATGATTTAATTATTACCTGTACCTTTATATCTTCTAGTCACCCATTCCAAGTGTGGTTAATGACTTAAGAAATGGGAAACAGGAGAAAAAGTCATCTCAGACAAAAATTTGATGAGCTCTTTTTTTTATTGTTTTGTGATGAGCACTTATAAATATTGGGTTGGCTAAAAGTTCATTTTTTTTTCTATAAGATGGCTCCAGTAGTTCTTAGTTGTCTTTAAATTCATTCAAAACAATTTTGTTAGATTGTATTGTGACAGTTATCATATCAGCATGCATTTAAGAAAACTTATCAACATTAGTGAGCTTGTGTGTAGCCATTTTAATATTGAAGATAGAAGAAATAAGCAACATTTTGGCATATTATGCATTATTATTTCAAGAAATGTAAAAACACAACTAAAATGCAAAAAAAGATTTGTGCAGAGTATGGAGAAGGTACTATGATTGATCAAACATGTCAAAAGTGGTTTGTGAAGTTTTGCTGGAGATTTCTCGGTGGATGATGCCTCATGGTTGGGTAGATCAGTTGAAGTTGACAGCAATCAAATCAAGACATTAATGGAAAATAATCAACATTCTGCCACGTGGGAGATAGCCAACATACTCAAAATATCCAAATCAATAAAGTTATTGGTGAAAATGGAAAATGTGTCTTTTATTTTATGGAAAAAAACATATAGACTTTTTGGCCAACCCAATACCTTTAATTGTCAAATGGGTTTCATCTAGTGAGGTCCTACTATGTACTCTAAATATTTAATATTATTTGTAAACCTTACAAATACCTGAAATAGTAGATTGGTGATATTATTTCTGTTTTGTAAATAAACAAAGGATCTTTGTTTTACACTGATCTCAAGCTAGAAAATAGAACTAAATTTTCTATTTTCTATATAACTAAGCTCCAAAGCTTATATACATAAATTTAATGGAATTTTTTTAAAAACTTGAATTTAGTTGATACATCATGGTTTAGTTACATATAATTTAGGGGAAGATAGTACTTGCACAGAGAAAAATACCTTGTAATGTTGAGTTCCTGACTTATGACGCCAACACATCTTGGAGCATTTATACCAGTAGAATAGAAAGACCCCTTCCTCCTATATTCCCCATGAAATAGTTCGACTCAATTCAGTTTGAGAAAGAAATGGAATGTTTATTTCTTTTTAATAAATGAGATAGGCTGACAATAATTAATCACCTTTTTTGCCTTGGGTTGAATTTAATTTAACTTATGTTTTTCATTAAATCTTTTTTTTAAATTCACAGGCTCCACTTCCTTTCATTACATTTGCTCTTTTTGTTCCTCATGAACTTTTTAGAAAAAAACTACCATGAATTTTGTATTTTGTTCCTCATGAATTTTTAAGAAAAGACCACCACTACTTAATATTTAGTATCACTCCCAAGTAAGATAAACCCACAATTAAGAGATAAAGATGAAATGCCAAATTCTCATATTGTAGGCACCACAGATTTAAATTTATGTTTGGCATTGAAGACAATCTTGCCAGAAATTATCTTTTTTAGAAAATCCACCTGTGTAAGCCATATCAGTCATAATCTTAAGAAACCGCATTATCCCTGGCTGGCGTAACTCAGTGGACTGAGCGCGGGCTGCGAACCAAAGTGTTGCAGGTTCGATTCCCAGTCAGGGTACATACCTGGGTTGCAGGCCATGATCCCCAGCAACCGCACACTGATGTTTCTCTCTCTCTCTCTATCTCCTTCCCTTACCTCTCTAAAAAATAAATAAAGTCTTAAAAAAAAGAAAAACTGCATTATGATAAATACTTAGGATTTCAAGACTGAGTCTTGATTCTAGGATTAAAAAACAATTCTTTACAAAGAATAGTTACTTAAGTGAAGGATAAATCATTAGTCAATAATAGTTTCAAAGAAATTTCCTAAGAGTTACTGCCTTTTCTCTAGTTCTAAGCTCATCAAACAACCCTCTAATTTTTTATTTTGATTTCTCAGTAAATATAGTCACCAAAAAGCAGATTCCTTCTCTGGATGACAATAACTAGATTTTTTACATGTTCACTATGTACAGGGCATTATGCGAAGCACTTTTCATCTAATATCTTATTGAATCATTCCAACAACCCAACTTGTTCTCACTCCACTTTCCTGGGTGACTATTATGCATCTTCTCTTTTTTCTTCAGCTCACTAGTACCTTTACCCAACCTGTTACTCTTAGCTTACTGCCTTCCTCCTTATTTCCTTGAGTATATAGGAGCCATCAGGAGACAACTTCCATTCACTCATCTGTGAACCTGCTTGCCTCTGTGCTCCTGCACTACTGCCCATGCTCCTGTCTTAACCCTATATTTGACCTCTTATGACCTGTGTTTCCTTTTACAACTGTACTAGCCACTTCTCCTCAGTTTCTTTAACAAGATCATACAGCTAGTGTAGTGGCATATCTGGTTGAAATCCCATTTGAACCCATGTAGGCAGAGACTACTTACCCATTTTTATGTCCATAGTACTTGGCACCATGCCCAGCATGTAACGTGAATTGAGAAGCAGTTAATTATTTTGTGAGAAAGATTGTGAGCTGAGGTCAGTTGGGGATGACACAGTTGAGACCAGAGACACTGGACTTTCTAGTCAACAAGAGGGAAACATGATCACTACTGGAATTTCTGAGGAGTGGGAACAGGTAAGAGATCCAGACAGGTAAACTTTGGTTAGCACCTAAAAGAAGAAAATAGGGTCTAGTCCGGCAGATGTTGTCTTCAAAGCCTAGCAGCCTAGAGTCAAAAATGGCCATTGCCTGGTTGGCAGTGAGGAGCCCATTGTCTCAGGACAAATTCCTGGGAAACAGACACAAAGATGGAGGTGAACACATGGAGTTTGCTGGTGACACTGTCAGGTGGAGTTGCTGAATAGCAGTGTAACCTCAGTGAAAACCTCAGCCAAACCCATGCAGAGCTAGAAAAGCCCCTGAGAGCTGTCAAACCTCAAGAAAGGAGATTTCACCTTCACTAATCCCATCCCTCTTCCCGCTGATCAGTCAGTCATTGGAGGTGACCTGCAGTTGGGGAGGGCTGTGACCCTGGGCTGGGTGCTTTCTCCTGCTGAGGGAATTCCTGAAGAAAGACTCTCAAAAGTTCGGTGGAGGGGCATACCCTTTTACGACTCCCAGGGAGGGTGCAGTGAATCCCAAAACATCGCAGGTGCCTCCTGAGATCATAGAGCTGGAACCATGCAGGAACCCCAGAGTCTGGAAGAACGTGGCAGTGAGCTCCAGAGAGCGAGTGTGCTTGGGAGTGCCCAGGGTTCCTGAGAGACTTGCTGAGATCTGGCTGGGAAGAGTGACTTACTGATATTTGGCTGGGAAGAGTGACTTACTGATATTTGGCTGGGAAGAGTGATAAGCATTTCAAAGGTCCCTCAGCCAGCTGAAGCCAGCAAGATCAGATAAACTGGTCTGGCCAGTTAGAAACCAACAAGAGGTTTTTTTTGTTTGGTTTGGTTTGGTTTGGTTTGGTTTTTGTGGCTATTGCTGGATGATTGATTTTATCTTGTGTTTTAAGTGACATTTTATTTTTCAATTCTTACTATTTTTATATCTCACAATCCCTTATGTTTCTCTTCCATTCATCCTAATAATATTCTTTCTAATCCAAATTTATCTCTCCTGCACTCCATCTTCTGCTTTTCTTTCCTTTTTTTTTTATCTTGCAAGTTACTGTAAATTTGTATTATCTTTTTCTCACCTTTCCGACATTTTTTATTTTAATAAATTTTGGTATTCTTTTTCTTTTTGTATGATCTTCTTTGCTTGGCTGGTTATACTGTCATTTGATAGGTTCCCCCTGGTATCTCAGTCACAGTGTGTTGATAATTTACTATCCTTCATCTATGTTCCATTAATACACCTCTCAAGGTTCTATACTCTTTATTCTTGTTATCTAGACCTCATCGATTCTGCCACAAGACTGTCACTTTACTATTACTGCTAGTAAGACCTAGTCTATACAATTGTAAATGCTTCTCAATACCCCTACCTGATCTCAGCCCACTTTGCAATTTCCTGAACTATACTATTGTGGGGGTTCTCTCTATTTTTTTACACACTACTCCTATATACTAATCTTTAATCCAACCCTACCTTAGAATCTGACCTCCCACAGCCTCACAGCTTTCTAGATCCAACTATCAATCCTCTCGTCCCCAATAAGAGTCTTACCCTCTTTCCATCCTTTCTAAAATGTGGATAGTGGGGTGGAGGATCACGGTTAACACTATAAGGAACCAAAGGATAACCCATCTCTTCTCTACTGGCTGCTAATATAAATATCATAGTACACTATCTTGCTGTCTTAAACCATTTCACCTTACTCCTCCAACTGATCACAAAAAAAGAGTAGGGGGAAGCTGTGAACACCAGGATACATGAAGGAGATTGCACCACTGGATCCCACAAGTATTCTACCACAGAAGTTCACACCATAATTGCAGGGAACCAGAAAAGATCAATTTAAGAAACAGAGGCTAACAAGAAGAAACCCATGAACAATGAGAAAACAAAGAAACAACCCCCAATTGAAGGGAAACGAGGAAGCCTCAGGAAAAAATGCTAAATGAAATAGAGGCAACTCAACTATCAGATAGTGAGTTCAAAACAATGATTATCAGGAAGTTCAATGAACTCACAATGAGCTATCAGAAATTAGAGGGAAACTACATCAATCTCACTGCAAACTATATAAACATGAAAAAGGAAATAGAAACTCTCAACAAAGGCCAAGAGAAAATGAAGAATACAATTTCTGAACTGAAGAACACAGTAGAAGGAATGAAAAGCAGGATTGATGAAGCAGAAGATCGGATTAGCGAGCTAGAGGACAAAGTAGAAAACAACATCCAGAAAGAGCAAGAAAAGGAAAAGAGGCTCCGAAAGAATGAAGAGGGATTAAGAGAAATGCAAGACAATATGAAACGTAATAATATCCGTATAATAGGGATACCAGAAGGAGAAGAAGAAGAACAAGGGATCAAAAACCTAGTCGAAAAAGTAATGAAGGAGAACTTCCCTAATTTGATGAGAGAAAAAGTTACACAAATCCAGGAAACACAGAGAGTCCCAATCAAGAGGAACCCAAAGAGGCCCACCTCAAGACACATCATAATTAAAATGGCAAAATTTCAAGACAAAGAGAGAATCTTAAAGGCAGCAAGGGAGAAAAAGGAAGTAACATACAAGGGAGCCCCAATAAGGCTAACAGCTGACTTCTCAGTGGAAACACTTCAAGCCAGAAGAGAATGGCAAGAAATACTCCAGGTAATGAGAACCAGAGGTCTCCAAGGCTCCAAGGCTACTTTATCCAGCAAGGCTCTCAATCAAGATAGAGGGCCAAATAAGAAGCTTCCCAGACAAAAGAAGTCTAAAAGAATACACCTCGACCAAACCAGCTCTGCAAGAGATTCTAAAGGGACTGCTTTAAGGAAGGGAAGGAAAAGAGAGAGAGAGAGAGGAACACATGTACATAAAAGACAATGAATAAGTACCTATCAATAATAACCTTAAATGTAAATGGATTAAATGCCCCAATCA